TCCTATTAGCTAGGATTTTGGAGATGATCTTATAGGTCACATTACACAAGCTAATGGGTCTATATTGATGGACAGTGGTAGGGTTAGGAGATTTAGGAATTAGGTAGATAAATGTTCTATTCAATTCTCTGAGCATGTGCCCCCTGCGAAAAAAGCTCTTATCACATCTATAAGGTCATTCCCTACGACATGCCAGTATGTTTTATAGAAGACAATGGACATCCCATCAGGACAATGACTTTTAAGTGGAGGAATAGCAAACAGAATGGTCTTAATTTCCTCTGGGGTCGATATAGAATAAAGAGAAACTTGTTGGTCTGGTTGGATAATGGGTGTGAAAGGTGTTCAAGGCCTTCCAAGAATTGGGGATCTATTGAGGAAAAGAATTATTGGAAATGTGAAAAGAAAATGTTACCAATTTCCTCTCTGTCTGAGATCCAATTGCCAGCTTGATTCTTTAAGCAGTCGATGGAGTTCCTTCTTCCCATAATTACCATGGTATTATGAAAGAATTTGGTGCAAGCATTGCCCTCTTTTAGCCATTGAATTCTAGATCTCTGTCTCCATAAATCTCTGTCTCTCTTTTGATGTTCTGATAGCTCAATAGAGAGAATTTTTTCTTCAAAGACATTGTCTGATGTTGGCTCTGCTTGCTGAAGGTGGTCAATCCTCCTTTTGAGTTCCTTTACCTTGTAGATGCAATTCCCAAACTGTTCTCTGCTCCATTTTTTCAATCCCTCCTTTGTTGCTTGAAGCTTCCTGTAAAACCTATAGGTAAATGAGCCCCTCATTTCTGTTCTCCACGAATTCTTTACCACCAAGTAACTATTCACGTCTCTTGTCCATATGACCTCGAACTTGAAAGGTTTAGGGAAAGTGTTCCTATCTTCTTGTGTGTTCAGCAGCAACGGATTATGATCCGATTCAATGGCAGACAAGTGTTTTATATTGGCTCTTGGAAATAAGAGTGTCCGTTCAGCATTCACGATCCCTCTATCCAATCTTTCCTTGATGTTGGTCAGTCCTTCCCTCTTGTTTGACCAGGTGTATAGGTTTCCTTCAAAGCCCATGTCTATCAGGCCCTATTCATTTATGAATTATCCAAAACCGCCAGCAGATGGTGAAGCAAAAGGTTTTCCCCCCTTCTTTTCTTACTGTGAAGTGATATTGTTGAAATCTCCGATGTATAGGTAGGGACCTTGAAAATTAGAACTTATCTGCAACATTGGTTCCCACAATTTGCCTTGCAATCTTCTGTTAGGTGGGGGCATATACACAATTCAACATCCATCCAATCTCCGATTGTCCACAAGGTAATTGTGCAGAGATGATGTAATTGGTGGAGAGCACAATGTCTATCTGTACATCTTTCCTCCAATATAGGCATATTCCTCCTGATCGACCTTTAGACGCTTGGATTTCAAAGTTATTGTAGCCTAAACTTCTCAGAATTCTTCCTAATTTTTCTTTTGAAATTTTTGTTTTTGCTAGGAATAAAAAATCTGGGTTAAAATCCCTTATTTGCGCCCTTAGTTGGTGAATCGTCAAGGTATGGGCTAACCCTCGACAGTTTCATATGTATCCTATCATGAATGGGGTGGGGGCATGGTAAGGCCTACCTCATCAGTCATTGACAATTCTTCCTCCCATTCAACTCTAAGTTCATGGAACTCATTGAATGTTTCGTTGATCTTCCTTGTGATTGATTTCTTGGTTTTGAATTTGCGAATTGGTTTTTTGTTTGTGGGTTGATTTGGCGCAGAAGCAACTTTTGGGTTGGATTCTGGTTCATCATCCATCTCTATGAAAGTGTATTGATTGTAGGATTGGGTTGGGTTAGGGGATGCAAGGATTGGTCTTGGGGATTCAAGGGTTGGTGTAGTGTCTTGTCTTTGTGCATGGGTGTTATCAGATTCAGTGTGGGGAATGATGATAAGAGATCCATTTTCTTGCCTGTGTACCTTCGAGTGTCTTTAGTATTCTGGGTCTTCAAAGGGGCTTCGTTTTAGGGATAGTTTGTTGATCACCTTAGCAAGACATTGATCTATTAAATTCAGGAGATGTGGGGGGATTCCTTGCAGTGCTTCCTTATTTAGGTGGAGGTTATTTGCTTGACTATTTGGATGGAGATAAGGGTGTTGGTATGAGTAGGTTACAGTGCTTGCAATAGTTGGTGGGGATAGGTGACTGATTTTACTGAAGCGTGAGGGGGCTAGAGGACTAGTATGAGTTATTGAAAGGGATGAGGGAAACGATGCGTTTGTGTCTGGTGGGGATTGTGGAGTATCCAAGCTGGTTGAGGAAAATGAAGGGTTTTTGACTGATGGGGATTTGGGGAGATATGAAGACGAAGGGTTTATGGCTATTGGGGATTGGGGAAGCTCCAGTCTATTATTTGCTCCAGTTGATGCCTCTACTGTTAAACGGTTGTGGGTTTGGGCATGGGTTATATTCACTTGGGCTTTGGGTTGGTATGGATCTCCAGGTGATGCCTCTACTTGTGGGAGGTCACGGCTATGGGTATAATTTATATCAGGTTGGGCTTTCAGCTAGTGTGGGCTTTTTTGTTGGGTCACTTGCTGAAGTTATTGTTTGTTTTTTGTTGGGCTTTGTTGGTTGGGTGTAATGGTAATTTCTTTGGTTAACAGAATTAAGGGTGGGTTAGGGTTTTGTGGTATTATGGTAGAAGAAGACGAGGCTTTGGGAGGAAGGCTTTTTGCTGGGTGTCCACGTGTATTGCTGTCAGAGGATCGTATCAGTAGGAGTGTGGGCACTATGTACGACCTTGGATCGTGCATTGGGCCTGGCAGTACTGTGGTCCTTGGTGGTACAAGGTTAGGGTTTCACGCGTCAGCTCTGATGGTCCAAATCCAAAATTTTCCGGTGATGCTGTTTCAAAATTTTTTGATGATGATTGTTCCTCAGGGGATGTCCATGGCGAGGCTCGCTGGTGTGGCACATATGCCAAGTTGCATCCCATTGCACTCGAAGATTTACACCCATTTTGTTCATGGCCTAGTCTCCTGCATATGTAGCAGAAATCCCCAAGTCTTTCATATTTCAAGCTGATGAGTTTATCTAGAAGGTTCTTTCTTGGCATCCAAAAGTGGGTTTGGAGGGTTTTTTTAGATCAATTTGAACTCTGGTGTGAATGTAATTTTTCCATTTTGTTTTTTGATGAAGGGGTTGTTCTAATATGGTTGGCGTTCCCAATGCTTTAGCAATCCTCAGAGCATTATCCTTTGTGATCATGTTTGGAGGGACTCCATGAGCTTGAACCCATAAAGGGGCTGAGTTGAATTGCATGTCGGTAATGGCGGTATCTGGGGTCCATTGTTTCAGAACCATGAGCTGCCTTTTTATGGTCCATGGACTTTGATTTAGAATTCTGAGTTTGTGCTCTTCATCTGTGAATATGAATATGAATGTATCACTATCACCTTCTCTGATTTCCACTCTTTCTTTGGCATTCCAAGACCTTTCCAGTATGGTTCTCGTTGCATTCTTATTGATTTTCTTTTGTGTATAGTTTACCTGTGAGGCAAGAGTGTGTTAGGAATTGGGTTGTGTTTGAGTCTGGTTGTAGGTTGATTCTGAGGTTATTTGTCTCTGGTAGGTTTTCCATCTGGTTCTCCATTCGAGATACAAACACAAGTGTGAGAATGGATTCTTGGGTTAAGTTAATGGCTATTGAAACAGCTGGGGAGATGTTTAAGGCCAATGAATAGTGTAGGTCACTTGTAGAGGATAAGAGAAGGGACTAGGAACAGTTTGGGTTTTGAGGGGAGTAGTGATGGTAGAGGTTTATACAAAATCATGCCTGTGAAGTGGGGGGGGGGGGGGGGTTGTGATGGATGAATATGAAGAGGTGAATAGCGCTGAATAGGACAGGGGGATTCCTTTCTGCTGGATAGAACGCAATAGCTAAATGCTGATGAATGATGGGGAAGGAGAGTGATAGATGGTGGATGATTTCTTTCTGTAACGGGTTGATGATGGATGATGGGGAAGGAGAATGGTTAGAACTGAGGGTAGAGAAGGTAGGTGGATGTTGAAGGCGCAAGAGTAAGCATCTTGCTTAGGGGGGGTATCACCATTGAGGGAGAGCAGAACTACAATGCAGCATGTATTTGGGACTGTATGGCAACTTTCTTCTTGCTGTACTAGAGCATAAACTTCATTCAAATCTTGGTGTTAGCTTAATCAAAATAATCTGAGCCTTGATGTAAGTAAAAGATTCATTCAACCCCATAAGAAAATTCATTATCAATCCCTCTGTTGATTTTCTAGAACAATTTTCATGGCTCCACATATACAAGAGGGTATGGATTCAAAATTTAAAAGCTCATCAAGCAATCTTTTTAGTTTTGAGAAGTAGAGACTTACAGAATCATCCCCTTGTGAGAGGGAATGAATTGATTGCTTTAATTCATAGATCCTTGGTCCATTGTTCTGTGCAAATCTCTGTTCCAGCTAGTCCAAAGCTCACGTTCAGTCTCCACATAAAACCACACTATTTTTGATCTCCAAGTTCATTTCATTCTGAAGCCAGGTGACCACGATACCATTGCACTCAAGCCAAGTTTCATACATGGGGTCATTGGGATTAACTGGTTCGCAGAGAGACGCATCGATGAATCCTAATTTCTTATTAATCCTATGTGACTTTCGAACTGTTCGAGGCAAAGAATGGTAATTATCTGTGGTGAGAGGATGACTGGTAAGTAAGGTTCCTGGTCCATCATTTGGATTGAGGAAATATGGACTAGTAGGATCCTTTGGATTGGTATTTGTCACAGCACCATTGGTACAAGTAGAGGAAGAAATATTAGGATTTTTTGGTGGTTCAGTAGCCATTATTGCTCTGATACCATCTTGAATTTTTTATTTTGTGATGAACAGAGCAGAGAAAGACAGAATAGAGGAGAGAGAGAGAGCAGAAATCTTGACTTCATTAGTTTTGAAATTCTACATCTATTACAAAGCTTCTATAAACACATATATACAAGTCACAAGAGTGACACCTAAGAAAGGAAACAACATAATAAACATTTAAATGCTATATACACAATGAAAGCTATTCTAACAAACTTCCAGCTCAGCACTTGAACATTCTTTGTCCTTTCACGTGTAACTTCCTTTGGTGAGCTTGGATCTTCACTAGACTGCTGTGCTAAGGGTGATTGATTGCTGAGTAGGCTGCACATCAGCTGTACATTTAAATAGGGCTGCCCAAGTTGCATGCAATTGAAGTACATGGTATCTAAAAGGTAAATATAGACATTGCAGGACTACGAGCAGAGTAACGTTTGTTCTTAGATCTATGACACGTCAGACGGTCACCAGGGAAGAGCTCTTTATTATTCTCATTGTTTTGGGAAAAAAAAAAACCCACTAATCAAGAACGGAATTCTTCAATATACCTTTCATTGGCATCGGGTACCTCCTTTTTGGGATCAACTTCTTGACCGCAAACATGCTGATCACGAAAGCAAGAATAAAAGCTGTGCCAAATCCAATTCCAAAAGCCATTCCATCGATATTCACTTTCTTTTTTTGTGGTTTGATGGCTGGCTCCCGAGGAAAGTGGTCCGTAGTCTGACATAAGGCAGCATATTCACCACATAGACCTTGGTTTCCCTCAAAGCTTGAGTTCGGAAAGGTAGCAAATTGGCCTCTAGTAGGGATTGGCCCAGAGAGTTTATTGTAAGCAACACTGAACTTGGACATAAAACTGAGTTTCTCCAAAGAAGGAGGTATTGATCCGGTGAGATTGTTATGGGACAAATCCAGTTTCTCTATGTTTGTCATATCTCCCAAACTACTTGGAATGGTACCCGATAAATTGTTGCTTTTGAGGTCCAATACATGTAACCTTTTCAAATTCCCAAATTCTGGCCAGATGGGCCCAGTGAGAAAGTTATTACTGAGATCCAGAGTTGGCGGAAAGGTCCAAATTCGATTATACTGCAACCCTCTGCTAGTACTCCTTCTAATGTGAAATACAAAACCTGAGGAAGACTCTTCCAATGACATATTCCAAAAGATGAGGCTCTGTAACCCGGTAAGGTCTTTCGGAATCTCCCCAATAAAAGAGTTGTTAGATAAGTCCATGTAAAAAAGATGCTGCAAACTGCCGAACCAGGCTGGGATTGTCCCCCCCAAACGATTCCAGGACAAATCCAATAACTGCAAATTGCCACAACCACTCAACCACTGGGGAACAAAACCGGTGAGTCCACAATTGGCAATAATTAGAGCCTTCAGTGATTTAAACTGCAGACTTGGATTGGAAGGCAATACTTCGTTAAAAAAACTGTCTCCAAGAACCAGAGTAGTTAAGTTCTGACAATGCTGTAGTATACCAAGGGCAGCCGAGATGTTATAGATGCTGCAATTTGAGAGGGAAAGGTAAGAGAGGCTCTGAAAATTCTTGAAGGTTTCTGGGATTTGGCCAGTAAAGTTGTTCCTCCCAAGATTTATAGATTTCAATTGTGGACAAGCGGGAAGATTGTCAGGAATTAACTCATTGAACTGATTGGAACCCAGATTAAGAGAGACAAGACTAATCATTGCCGAGCAATTAAGATCAACAGGACTATCCAAAGAATTGTTTCTCAAATTAAGCGAAGTAATAGTCCTGGAATTGGACATTGACATGGGTATCCGACCAGTGAAATTATTGGATTGCCCTGAGAAATCTCTTAACTTCCTAAAGCTATGAAAAATATCCGGTATATTCCCTGAAAACCAATTTGAGGATATATCCAAACGAACAAGGTTAGAGAGGTTACCGATACTGCTGCTCAATTGCCCAGAAAACAGGTTATCTTGAAGAGTCAGTAGAGCCAACTTTGGTAGCTGAAAAAGATCTTCTGGTAAACCACCAGAGAGGAAATTTGAATCAAGGGAAAGGTTTTCCAATGAACTACAATTCCCAAATCCTAGTGGTAAATTCCCAGAGAAATAATTCAATGCCAAATCAATAGACGAAAGTTGGGCAGCGTTATTGCATATACCCACAGGAACCAAACCCCGAAAGAAATTTTTTGAAATGTCAAAAATTTGAATTGAAGCTAGATTGATGCTTATCGGAAAGAAGCCTGAGAGGTCATTGTTGCTGAAGTCCAAAACCTCTAATCTGGGCAAATGTAACAGTAAGACCGGAAGTGAGCCACGGAGGAAATTGTGAGAGAGATTGAGGGTTCTAAGCTGGTCCAAACTTCCTAAAGACTCTGAAAGTTTTCCCATTAGTCTTCTCTGTCCAAGTTCCACCTGAACAACCCTACTGGAGTTGAGTGGGTCATTTAGTCCAAGAGAAGATGAAGACTTGCATGTGATCCCAACCCAATTGCAGCAATTGGAAGATGAATCAGTGTCCCACCCACCAATAGGTGATTCCACAGCACTCACGAAATCCCTCAATGCCTTCAAGTCATTTGAACTGCACGTGAAGTTCTGAGAATTCAGAAGCTGAGCTTGTAAAGTAAAGCCAAGAACAGTCAAGACCACCCAAAACTCCAGTGTACCCATTTCAGCAAACAACAAACTTCTTTAAACAGTCGAGAGGGGTTGTTAAAGTCAGGTTCCAGTAAAGCCAATGAGGTAAACCTTTTTTCTTAATGATCAAACCACATACCAGCAAGACAACAAAAGAATTTACAAACTAAATGATGGGTTTGTTCCACAGAATTAGAATGGTTCAAAGATGAACAATCAGAACTAAAGGGAAACGAAAAGGATTACCTGTTTCCATAAAGAGATATGAGGGAGAGAGCAGGATCGGAGAAATAAGGAATACCTGTTTCCAAATGGGAGGTTGTTGCTGTCGATTGATGTACACTGACTCAATTTTCCTAGTCAACACATCCAGCATACATGATTGAATACGAATGTAAAAAATATGAATATTATTTTATTTATTTATCTACCATTACATGATTTTTTTTAAAATTAAATAATTTTGTAAAGACGTTTAAATATGATACAATTTGTTAATACGACATGAACACTTCACAAAAATAGAGGGTTTGAGTATTCTTTTAACCACCCATTTTGTAAATGAGTGGACCTGATTCAATACGATTAATAAATAAAATGATAATTTGACATAATTTATTGACCTTATTCACTATGATTTTTTGATTGATTATGAGTCCTATCATACATTGGAACTTGTTGTTGATCCAATGGTTCCATTAAAAGCACATTATTATGTTAGATTTTTAGGTCCAAATAATATTATTCATAAATAAATCGGTATAGGTAAAGTCAATCAAAAAAATATACGACACAGTTCATTTATATACTTATTATACACGATTTATACATGACACGAATTCGATATAACACGATTCATTATATACAAATTAATACACAAATCGAATATGAGTAGAGCCTCTTTTATACAAATCTGTTGAGATTCGACACAAATCAAGTTTATTCAACACAAACTCACTAATACTCGATACAAACCCGTTTTTTCCGGCATAATTGACAGACTAGGATTATGATTTAGCTCTTCGAGATTGGATTGCATAGATTTTAAATTTGTTGGAGACTCGTGTTTGGTGGATTTGACTGAGAGAAGATATTACTATGTTACCAAAGAAATAAATTTGGTATTGTACCTTTAACTTTTATCATTTTAATGAGTATTTTTATAATTTTTGTAGATTATTTTATAATAACAAAACAATTTATAACTTTTGTGGGTGATTTATCATTTTGGTGGGTATTTTTATCATTATTGTGGGTGTTTTTATCACATTTGTTTTAACTATTTTTATCATTTGTCTTTCATACAAAAATTTTTACCATATTTGTGAGTGTTTTTACTATATTTATGAATATTTTTATTACTGTTGTGATAACTATTTTTACCATTTTTTTGAGTATCATAACAGTGATAAAAGAACCTACAAATATGATAAAAGTGACCACAAATATAATAAATAGAGATATGATATTGAATTTTTTTTTTTTTTTGATATCATAGTCCTTTTGTTTGATTTCTAATTTTATTTATTAATTTATTTTGAGTTATATGAAAGTTTAATTTAAAGGGAGATTTGGTGAGAAATACACACTAGGGATTTTTTTGGCTTTAGATCCGGCCTTACCATTTTTAAGTCCAAAAATCTATAAAATCAACTCTAAACAAGAATACCTTTAGTGACGGAAGTTATTTAAAAATCTCCACCATTATGCCATTTTTAAATTTATTATCACTATCTTAATCATCCCAACACCGTCGCCACCATTCGTCACCATCACTGCCACCACCACCCAATTCACACCACTACTTACCACCACCATCATCACCATTGCCCACCATAACCATTGTCGCCATAAAACCACCACCACCAACCACCAGCGCCACGCACCGCCACAACTACCAACCACCGTCCACTACCACCGCCACCCCCCACTCACCACCATTGCCATAAACCATCACCGCCATAACCCATTGTCGCCATCCATCACCACCAAAACCCACCACTCCAACCACCCATCATTGCCCACCAGCACTACCACACACCATCGCCACCCCCACACACCATCACTGCCAACCACCACCATACCCACTGCCAACCATGCCCACCCACCATCAACACCACCACTACCCACTGTCGCTGCCATCAACACCCACAATCATTGTCAACCACCACCACCACCCTCCATCCAAAATAATGAAAAATTAGTGAGCTCAAAAATACTGAAAAAAATCATAAATAGTGAACTTTTAATATAATGAAACTTTGAATTCACAAACAATAAACTTTAAAATAATGAAACTCTTATTTCACAAAATTTTCACAAACGATGAAATTTAATAATGAAACTCATAATTTACGGTCCAAAATTTTTATAAATAGTGAACTTTAAAAATTTGAATTGAAAAACATATATAAAAAATAGCAAACTCAAAAATATTGAAAAAACATAAATTGTGAACTCCAAAAATAGTGAACTTTAATATAATGAAACTCCTAATTCATTGTGAATTAAATATAATGAACTCAAATATAGTGCACTCAAGAGTGAAATAATATAGTGAACAACCACCATCGCTGCCAACCACTACCACCAATAACCCATCACCCAAAATAATAAAAAGCTAGTGAACTAAAAAATATAATAGACATAATTAATGGCATAAAAAATGTACACACCAAAAACACTTAACTCAAAGTTAGTGAAAACAATGAAAGATTAGTGAATTCAAAAACAATGAAAAATAGTGAACTCAAAAATAATGAAAATTAGTGAATTTAAAAATAGTGAGAAATAGTGGAACTCAAAAATATTGAAAAACAATGAAATTTAGTGAATTCAAAAATACTGAAAAATAGTAAACTCAAAAAAAGTGAGAAACAGTGGAATTCAAAATCAGTGAGAAACAGTAAACTCAAAAACAATGAAAAATTAGTGAATTAAAAAATAAATAAAAAATGGTGGAACTCAAAAATAATTAAATTTAGTAAATTCAAAAATAATGAAATACAGTGGAACTCAAAAACAGTGAACTTAAATAAAGTAAAAAATTAGTGGACTCAAAGACAATGAAATTGTTTATAAGTCTTCTTTGGCCCTCACACTGTTAGTGTGAGTGGTTGAAGTTTGATCAAAAAAAAAAAAAAAAAGACAATGAAATTTAGTGAATTCAAAAAAATGAAAAATTAGTAAATTCAAAAACAGTAAAAAATAGTGGAACTCAAAAACAATGATAAGACTAATAAGACTTGGTCTTAAACTTAAAAACTAAATTAATTTGATTAAGAGATTTACAAATTTTAATCCACAATCATCATCACCCAAAATCCACCACCGCCACCCACTATCGTCCACCACCACGCACCACCGACGTTAACCATCATTACCCAAAATCCATCACCACCACCCACCGTCACTGCCACCATCACTGCATCCACCATCATTGCTGCCTACCACCGCCTGCCATAGTCCAACACCACCCACCACTGTCCAAAAATCTTCACAAACAGTTAACTAAAAAAAATATTAAAAATTTTGAATTGAAAAATATATCAAAAATTTTGAACTCAAAAAATATTAAAAAAAAACATAAATAATGAACTTAAAAAAGAGTAAATTTTAATAAAATAAAACTCTAATTCTAAAATTTTTTCACAAAAATGAACTTTAATAGAATGAAGCCCTTAATTCACTGTCCAAAAATTTCATAAAATGGAAACTTTAATAGAATGAAACTTCTAGTTCATTATCCAAAATTTTCATAAACAGTAAACTCAAAAATATTAAAAATTTTGACTTGAAAAACATACATAAAAAACAATGAACTCAAAAAATATTAAAAAAATATATAAACAATGAATTCCAAAAACAATGAACTTTAATATAATGAAATTCTTAATTCACAACGAACATAAACAGTGAACTAAACATAATAAAAACAAATAAATTGTGCTTAATTAATAAAATTGATTAGATTTTAATAACTTAGTTAAGACATTTAATTTGAATTGAAAACATATATAAAAAATAGTGAACTGAAAAAATTAAAAATAAGTGTCGAATTTTAGTGAAACCGAAAAGGAAAATAAATATTTCAAAGTCCAAATATCCCGTCGTTCACTGTCCTATTTTTTTTTTTTTTTTACAATGAAATTAGTACACCGCCATAAAATAAAAATCGAATTTCTGTGAAATCAAACAATGAAATAAACATTTCGAAGTGCAAAATATCCCTTAGTTACTGTTCAATTTTGATCTCTATGTAAATGTGTACTATATATATGGGTTGTTTTGATCTATTTCATATACAATTGGTTTCTCGCTACGTTTCATAAACTCTGAAACATAAATCAAACTCAACATGTGCACAAGTCGAACTTTAGTTCACTGTTTAAGTTCATTTTTTCCACAGATTTTCTTGAATACAAACTATGCAAATACAAGTCTAACCTCCCAAATACATTATATACGGATGCATAAAATCAGGTGAAAAATGTGTATGTAGATTGACGAATCATATCGATGGAAGTGTTTACTGTATCGTTGGAGATTTTCAAATGGGAAAAAATGACCTGTGGTTTTGTGTAAATGAAATTTGTGAAAGAGAAATTTATGAAAGAGTGTTTCATCCATGATCGCTGGAACTTCGAGGAGATGATACGACAGCGAGGATTCACCGGCGATCAGAACAATAAGAGAGATATAGGTAATGTATTTGAGAGGGTTTGTGACCAAATTTAAGGAGAGAGAAGACGAATAAAAAAATGGAAAATAAATATATATAGAGAGTGAGTGACGAAAATGTTTGATAAAATCAAACTTCAGCTCATAGAAATCACAAGATGCACAACCATGGAAGTTGAAGTGAATCGACGATTACCAGACTCAGCTTCTCACCAAAGGCTCTAGAGCATACTCTCACCATTCCCCAAAACTCGCGTCCAAGAAAACGTCTTCTTCGACGGCATTAACTCCGAGCTCACTTCAAAGCTCGCCGTACTACGTTTCATATCTATAACCGTGACACCCACTGTATCGTCTCTCTCAAAGACAAACCTATGATCTCCGGCAGAATCAGCCAGGTCGAGGAAGATGAAGAGCCCATCGACGCCGCCATCGCC